ATCAGCCCGTCGCAAGGCCTCTACCTGTACACAGGACAGCACAACACAGAAAAACATCCATGGCTTGAGTGGGATTCGAACCCATGGTCCCAGCAACCAAGCGGCACAAGGCCCACCAGTCTTTTTATTTCAAATAATATAATAATATAACGTAGCTGGTCGTATAATCTGAATAACATTAAACATAAACCAAAATAAATATAATATTCATGTATGAATAGAGTTGCGTTGACAGAAATTATAAAATACAGCTGATATAAGCAAACAAGGATGCCTCTATATAGGTTTAAAAATGCAAGTCACACTTCTGACACAAACAAATACCAAAATCCATTCATCCATCCATCCACTCCTCAATCCATCCACTCCTCCATCCATCCATCCAGTGGTGCTACAGCGCAAGTCGAACCCTGTCGTCCCTAAATACCAAAATATTAAACATAAATTACTAAAATGTAGCACTCGAAACATGTTTGAAACACTCATTTGCTCGCTTAAATGAAAACTGTATGGTCTGCCAACGATACTCAAGTGACAATGCAACCACTTCGGCGACAAGACAGAATTACGGGATGGCAATCATATTCCGATAAACATATACTTTAGGTTGGTACAAAATAATTCATGCAAATCCCAAAAGACACAAATCTTAAGTAATTTCTGCATTTGTCTGTTCTCAGAAAGGTTAAACAAGTGGCCACACAGCTACAGGCATAACATGACATAACAGTTGTGGGAAACATTAATGTTACAAAATACAGAGTGGTAAATAGCTATATGTCAGGTTTAGCCAAGATTCAAAATGGCTATTCTGTAAAAACACTGAGTGCGACAAAAACATTTTTTTTTAAATAATGGCGGAGTAACAATTTAACAAATAAACAGCAAAACAAGCATATGACATGGTGAAGATGCCCGAACACGACCTCGATGTTGTTACGACACTTTGTGAACTACTGTCGGACGGTTAGAAACGCGATGAATTCCAAATGTCACGACACATTCATATTTACATCGCAGATGATGAGGTTGAGAAATGCTGAGTTATGGAACCTCTATCAGGCATTGTTGATCATCTCACACAACGAAGGCAAGCTAAGTCAACTCCAGATTTACACATTTCCATCTATCATCATTTTGATTTTCTTAATATCATTTTAAAGTTTTGGTTCTTCTCATTACCATTTATGTACTTGTTCTGTCAACAGAACGGACACTAAATTGAATTCTAAAGGTAAACAATAATATTCTCAAATTTAATACAGTAAAACACGATCAGAGCTAAATTCAATGAGAAATGTTAACGGAATTCAACTGTTATAATCATAACTTAGCAGCTTACAGTTCATGTTATAATTTCTTGAAAATAAATTTGTAATAAATTTAATAATTAACAGTAATATACTTATTTCTGGTTTCAGTTAATAAGTAAGGATTCTAACTAAGGTTAGATCACAAAGGATTGCAAAATGTCACTTGTAAGTAGTATTTTTTGATTGAAAACAAAATGTTACATTTAAATAATTATAGGGACCCTTGATTACAATCATGATATAATCCATTTTACTTATTCATAAAATCCAGAATGTCCAGAAAGTTCTTAGTAATAAGAACCAACATTTTAACAGGACTCACACATTAAGGACACTTTTCAATTACTGAAGTATCAGGATCATTACGCACATTTGTTTAACTAGACAGAGGTCATTGTCCAAAGCAAGTAATCCCATTAAAGTTTCAGGGTTATTTTAAAGGTTATAAGACTTGTAAGACTTGAGGTTCTCACAGCGGTGAATATGAAGATTTCTGTCTTCTGGGTTATTGCGCTGTGTAGTCTGGTCGATGTTAACCAACGTTTCAGAGGTCATACTGCCTCCGTCATCAGGGCGATGAATATTCATCGCCCTGATGACGGAGGCAGTATGACCTCTGAAACGTTGGTTAACATCGACCAGACTACACAGCGCAATAACCCAGAAGACAGAAATCTTCGTTATAAGACTTCTACTGAATTTATGTGCGATCGTGAGGGGTCAGTAATACTAAGTAAGGTCACATCCTTTACAATTGGCACTTCATATCTTTCATATTTATTCTCTGAGACTCTGTAATACAAAATGGACCTCATAAAAATTACCATCTTTATTTATAAGTGATGGTACATTAAAGCCTCCTATTGATAATCATGTTAAGAAAAACACTTTAATAAATTATTTGAATTTGAAACAAGGTAATATTGACTGGCTAACCTCACTTTTTTAATTAATTTCCATCCCCACTTTAACAGGATAGTTATTTCTCATCATAAATTCCTACCTGCATTTATTTCAATAAAGTCTGTAGCATCTCATTAGTGGCATCTTGTTTATTTCTTACATGAATGCTGAAATAATATCTTGTTGATGATACTAGCTTAATTTTCAATGATCCTCACTTCATGCATTACTCCACATTTCAGTGATTATGTTCCATGTCCTGTAGAACTCTGGGACTATTTGACAGACTACAAAAGGGTGGCATATGTTACAGAAAAATAAACAAAAAAATACTTGGTCACAGATCTGAGTGTAATATTTAAAATGTATATCAAATATATGGATCAGTAATTTATGGAAACAAGCAGGGATCCTGTCACTGAGCAAAATTGAAAAAAATATGTCAAGTTTGGTGACAAATTCTAATTTCAGTTATTTTGACTACATACCACCTTTTCTACATTTTGCTTTCAAAATTTCGAAAAGGTAAAACAGAAATTTCTTGATGGCAAATAAAAAAAGGACCGGCACTGGTGGTATTACATGTTCTAAACATCATATCTAAATTCTAGTGTTTCGCGGGTATTAAAATAAATTTAAACTTTTCTAACTTAACCTCAACGCAACTTACAATTTTCTTATAATAAAGGTCTATACCACTGGTAATTAATTCATGATCACCCGAGTTGGACTCAAATGCGTCTCTTTAACAGTAATTAGCGCGCTGATATTTAAATCAGAAGCATAAGCCATTATTTTTGTCACAATACGACTTTAAATGACAGCAGACAAATGTCAAAAATCACTCTTTGGAACCTTATGAAATAACACATTTAACTCATTCAAAAAGTCATACACATTCAGCAACTACCATATTTATTCGAGGAATTCTTACCCGTTCATGATGAAGAAATATTTTACGGCACCAACAACTCTTCAGATCCTAAATTCACTTCTCACGTTGTCACTAACACAACAAGTGGTCTGGCACAACCCAATATGGCGTTACACAAGCAAGTAGTTGCTACACTGGGAAATTTTACATTAATCACAACATAAAATAACTAGAAATTAATCATAGAAGTCGAAATTTTCTTTATACATACTTATATATGGCCCTTAGAGTATGACACTCAAATAACTTGTAACTAGAGTAATATAATCACGTTCGTATTCAAACGATTCTCTCGTACATACCGCAAGAGACACCTGTGATACAAAACACGAACTACAAGGTATTTCACAACCGAAATATACCAATGGAAAATACAAGATTGAATGTTTCAAACCGTTCTACGGGTTTCAAGCAATGTTGAAATCCCTATATATTCTTAATGGTATAATTTTTTGGTTGTTTATTAAAAAAACGTTAATCCTCCGTTTGTGCACAAATTCCGAACAACATAATACAATCAATAGTTAATTGCCATAGAACATAGGCATGAGAATTTTACAAATCACATTTGTGCGCGTTCAATGGCGCTAACAAACAGCGATTAATTATATTTTTTCAAAACTTGTAATCATTTCATTTCATCTACTTACGAAAATTTACTCAAAATCTCTTTTGACTTCTGTGTGCACAAATTGAACTACAAGCCAAAATTAAGCACATCCACAGCAGCTAGGATGACATTCTTCTGTGTTTTGGTACCATATAGGCTTGTAGGTAGATGCCAACGTTTTGTAGAAACAATATCCCCATTTTCATCTCTGAAGATGAAGACAGTATGTCACCAAAATAACAATTCACCTGTATAACTTATTAAACTCATTAAAACAAAATATTTTATGTACCAATATCAATAGTAATATATACACACGACTTCCACTGAAACAATTCCACAATTTCAAACAATAAAGATAAAGCACATGGTGGTTTATTTGTTCACACTTCTTTCTCATGACAGAAAAACAATCAGATAAGGGACCACCATACTTTGTCTGCCCTTCAAACTTTTAAGCCAAGTAACCAGTTTTAATGAAATCTGGTATAAATATTATCACTCAAGTCTTCATAACTTTGTACTTGTTAATTTCTCATAGTAATTTCAACATGGCAGATGTGCATATTTGTAGGGTGAGAATTATATGCAGGACTTGGATCATCAAAGACTAACAACTTCAGTTAAGGTGATTTTCATTATAATGTAAACCAAAATAACACCTGTACAAAAGTTTATCTTCAGCTTCCAATTCACATCAATAACTAATGAGCCACTGAAATTAAATATGACAACAAATTGTACGAATAGTATATTTTTGTCAAGCACAAACATGGTGACCATACAAAACTAAGTTTATATCTGACAAATACCCACTTAATGGTACCTGCACCTTGTCGCGGTGGTGGGGCTTGAGTACCTCAGTGACCCCAAGAGCTATTGGTAGGGCCTCCCTAGCCAGATTGGTCGAGTGGGAGAGGTCAGACTAAGACAGGTACCCTGGTCCTCCAGGTTGGGGGTTGGTCGCAAGGCTAACAACCTTGCGCCGTAAAAAGGAAGATGTTTCGAAACCTCGATCAAAGCCTCGGACAGACGGACCTAACAGAGGACCGAATGGAAGAGGAGAATTGAGGAGGCCATGGACCGAGTATGGACCAGAGAGCCATAGAAGGACTAACGTGAAATTTCACTGCCACACCCACCGTAAAGAAACTATCTTTGTATTAAACAGCGAAGTTCTATTATCATAACTAAAAGATCTGCAAGCAGTACTCTTTTTTTCTAAAGTGAAAGGTAATTGTACTATTGAATTAATTCATTTATTAATTACATATATTACAGATGGCAGTGATGGTCAGTCAAGGGGAAAAGGGATTCATTTCAAAATATTTTCATTAAAATACAGAAATTTAAAACACAGAAATACAACACTCATTTCAGAAAAAAATAAATAAAATTTAATATCATAATATATTAATGTACTCGGGACGATTTCATAAAGGTAGAGAATGACTTTTTACATTTCGTCTTATGAATGAAAGATGCCGGTACGACGTGCGAATACGAAGCACAAGAAAAACCCTGCTCAAACGTTAAAGCCGTTCTGCACCGACGTCAGAAGCCTCGAGCGTGCCGCGTCAAAAAACTCACAGCTGAAAACATACTGAGAATCGTAATTAAATAAAGTCAATGTTTTATGAACGTCTAGTTAGCACGAGACGCGATCACAGAAATTAATATAATATATAAAAATTTTATTCCATAATAAATTGGAACAAAACATAATAATGATGCGTATGAAAACTGATAATGTCTCAACTTCATAATAAGGCAATTATCAATTATTTCTGCTAAGTATTTACTATTAACATGATACTTAAATGAGACACTTTATAGTACAAGATAAAACAACCTAACGAAATAAAGAGGCATTTCTAACCTCTAACACTTTGAGGCATCTAACTTATATCGTTACTGTAGACCCAGCGCCAATATGCCACTCTCATGCGATCCCAGATATTCTCCACAGAATCCATGGCTGGACGAACGTCCAACAACGCAAACTGGTAACTTCCGGGTTTCACCGGGCCACCATCGTAGTAATCAATAACATAGCGAACTTCTTTTCCACAGCGATCAATGATCCAGTCATGACGATCAAATGGAAGTTCATATCTGAAAAAATTTAATCTCGATTGCTGTCTTATTATTTATCACATGATCTGTAGACGAATAAAATATCGTAAGTGACGTGTTATTGATTTAAATTTCTCACTTAAAAATTAAAATTCTTAACTTCTGTAAGACACCTCATCTCATCCCCATAAAAGAGACGACACTGACCACAATAAGGGAAATGGGGCAGACGTGTTGGCAAAAGAAAATTGTTGTGTTCAAAAGTACAACAGAAAAATGCGGTTCGGAATGAAAAATTTAAAGGATTCATCTTAATTTATCTTGTTTTCTCCGTCCAGTACATTTACATAAATATATTTTATAAAACTGAGCTATTTAAAAAATGTCATTCAAAAATTTACTACTTAAACTTTTGAATCTGTTTCACTTCTCTCGTTGTAATAATGGATTTTGAGTGTTTTTATGAATTAACACAATAACTGACACTAAATAAGAAACTTCACTTCTTTATAATGCGTCTTATTTGTAATCAAAATTTCGTACACACTACTAACGACAGATGACAACGCTACTGGAAACTTTTATCAACTTACCCCATCCAATACCTGATCCGTGCACGGGGAGAATAATCCTTTGCACGGCCAGCAAAGCTCTTCAATTTTGGGTAACCGCATTCTCTGGCATGAAGTGCTTCCCATTTCAAAATCTCCTGCCAAGCCTGTTCATTATTTGCATTATGTATCTGAATAATATGACCCATAACCTCTGGTTCAATGTCCTCGTCCTTCCAACGCCATCCTTTACGAAGCATCGCATTCCAGAACATCTACAACAATTACCAAGGAACTTAACTTTTATTGGATGCGTATCACAGCTTATTAATAATCCACCTGGTCACGTGTCCCACTTCCATCCAATTAAGCGTTAAATCCAGGAATTAGAGTCTGACCAGGAGGATTTACATCTCATATTTTTATATGATAAAGGTTGATCAAACATTTACTGTAAATAAACGCACCTGCTGAGACGGATAAACCCAGAACTCATTCTTGTCACCAGATTTGGGAATAGACGACATCTGCCGCTCAGTCGGAAGGGGAAATGGTTGATCCGGAGCTGGAAGCTGATTTGGTGGGGGCATCTATATTATAAGAAGCCACACATTATTTATGTAAATTCTGTAAAACATACTTATCTGTTGCGGTTGAAAATACGTATGTACCTTTACAAAGAGTGGATTATTACCATATTCAATGGATTAAAATCATCGTTTCCAGCTATTGGGCATCCAGATGTCATTACCTGAAAAAAAAACAGATGTGCTGAGGTCAAGAATGAGTAGGAGATATACCTACTGTTCCCCCAAATGCTTAATTTTATTTATTTATACGTTATCTGCCCAAGATTCAAATGGAGTGCCTCCCAACATAGGTCTGGAATCTTATTCCACATCATTCACAATGTCTTAAATTATAACCATTAAGAGTGAAGTAAGAACTAATCTAAACTACACAACGCCACATTGTATTATAACAAGATACTGATAATTACCTTTACTTCTTGCCTATGCCTGGGGCATTCATATAGTGGTTTCCCACCACGGGGTCGACTGTGTGTAAATTCTCTTTCAGTATAACCAACAATTTGTGCTGCTGCTATTTCAGCAGAAGACACAGTATTCCCCATAACTCCGTGGTATGAACTATTTACCAAAGGGAAAAGAAAATTATTACTATACATAAATACAAAATACTGGGCGCACACTGTAATGTATTTCTGAACTAGACTGGCCTGACAGTACTGAGTTTTTTATAATGTATTTCCTATGTACGAGTTTCAAATAAATATTTTAAATACAACTGTTACCTCAGTTCAACATCCACATAACTTCTACTCCGCCATGCCAATCGTAAAGAACGACGATACTAATTCTCCAGGTTGTACAGCGATACTAAACACAGAAATTTCCCCACAGTAACATTCGCAGATACCAACATCAAATCGGTGATTCAATGGCTTAACCCTAGACAGCCATCATCGTTATAAGTTGGCAACGAAAAATGCGTATGACGTCACGTTGACCTACCATCTAACCTCTATAACAGATGGCTTACGGAACCCGAAGGTTCATTACCGAACTAACCAAAGCCCTCCACCGGACCCTGTCCTGGGTCACCAACATCCAGTGTCCTTCAACTCCCATAGATCCCGTCTGAGATTATCCTCCCATCTATGTCTAGGGCTCCCCGACCAATACCCGGTGCACACCTCTTGCCCCGCCCATCCCCTTCTTGACTTAATCACCCTGACAATACCACCTACCCTCAGCTATATAAATTACTATAAATTCGAAATGCCAGTAGGGGTTGGTAATAAACCTTGGGAGTACCCACTGCCGACAGTCCAGTCAGTAACAACATTAAATATAATCTGAATAACTTAAGTATTATAGACCCTCAACACATGATTAGACTTTTACAAATCTGACAACTGTCTTCTGGGATATCAGTCACCCTTGTGATGGATGTGTAAGGCACCTCTGAAACATTGGTACACTGCCAGACTATACAACTAAACACATTTATTAGTGTTTAAGTAAAAGTAGCTGTAAGTTAAAATTCATAATGTGGCATTTGGAAAAATATTAACATTGTTTTAAATTAAAATCAAATGGACCTCACCAACACGAACAAGGCGAATTTGTTTTCATGACAGTAGTCACATGATACCAACCACGTATACCATTTGCAAAACTTATTTAACAGTAAAACATACTGAAGGAGTTAAATGAAATGTGAACTTTCGTATGAACAGAACCAAATTCATAACTTAACAATTTATATAAACTAAAGCACTCAAACATTTATTCAGTTTGCTATACTTCCAAAACTGATAAATATCAGTTGAATAAACAAGTTGCATTCAAAAACAAGGTTGACAAATATTGAAGTAATAATACTTGTACAAATGTAATATGATATAATAAAATAAATGTTACAACTAATACACACAAAAGCAACTCAATATATCTGTAATATATTTTTCTCCTCTTAGAATATTTACACACAACTTAATATCAAGGAACTTCGCTGTTTTCAGGGAGGAGCTTGGGTTCAGATGTATTGATATCAACAGTTTGTACTTCACGATGAGAATTCTGATAACCATTACTGTGAAACTTCAGGCCTACCACCCTAAAAATGTCTAGAACCTAACATAACACAAAATTTTAAAGTAGAATACAGATTTGGTTTTCAAAATTCTAATGTATTCTTCAAATCAACAGCTGGTATTACAAATTATAATATTGTTACAATGTATTTTCATTTTTGTAGGAACTGTATTTCAGAATTCTTATCATCTTTAGGATTCCTTAATGACACCATTAATTTTAATACATTTATTTTCACTTGTTATTAAATGTACAAATTTAAAGTTAAAGCAGCAAGTAACCCTTCAAAGTCCAGTGGTAATGAAATCTACCACTGGTTTATCAATTTAGAATCAACCAACTGATTTTTGTAACTGAGGTATAGACTGAATTCTTAAATATAATTGAGATGAGCTTTGCCTTCAGAGGGTTAAATGCATACAAATCAAAGTGACTAATTACATTCAACAGCACATAACCTAATTTTAAAATTCAGACCACCTAAATTAAACTATCTGATCCCAAGTTCTTCAAATATTTAATACTGATCAAATCAATAAACCATAAAGGATGATGAATAAAAATGTATTTATCACATTCCTTTAATTTTTAGATCAATGTATTTGTATTTAAATTTATAATAAACAAAAACTACAGAAATTAAATACATAAATAACATCTGGAATGATGTGAAAGTATAAAAAAGACTGCAACATTATAGTTTTATATCTATGTGTCACGTATGTGATCAATGTATCTCTTATATGCACGTTTATAAGTTCTATTATTCATTAGTCAATGTAATATGTTCGTTGCAATATTATTTCGGATGTATATAATAAAACTCCACATTTATAGGTCATACTCCATTGTAAATCAAACAAATTTAAAGTACTGAACTTATTTTCTTGTTTCGTTTTATAAACACGAGTATTAAACTTTCATTCACACACATTTCATATGCTTTATTCACAATCTTGCTTCTAATATGAACAAATATAATGAGAACATATTTGTTTCATAAACTGCAGAATTTTCCAAACATAAAGAATATATGTTCAGCATTACTTAAAATCTCAAGAGTTAGCACAAATTACCACTGGTGACACAATTTTATTACATACAAACACCTACATAATATTATAAATCACATCAAAGATCTAAATTGCGAACAATATCATTTAGAAAGAAAATAATTTTACAGTTCCCTGCGCATTAATTTCAACACACAGAATAGATGGATGCAATTACCACATAAATGTTGCTTCTGCATCATAAATGTAACACGCCTTGCACACAAACACAGAGAACATAAAACATATCTAAAGTAAGACCATACGAGTATAAAACAAATACCTTGTCTTTCATCTGCTATTCTTTTGTTCTTATTTTTGACTTCAGTGTTAATATTAGCAGTATTTAGGTCTGAAAACTTCGGTCTTTTGTCACGCACAAATGTTTTATGTAACAACGGCATTTTACCAGGAAAATAGAAGTTACGAATGTGCAAGACGACGATGTGATTTGTGATGGGTTTCGGGAAATAGTATAGTTATTTAAATGCAGTATATGGGAAGAATCGGTAGTTCTGGGGGTTGATTTAATTTGTTCGAACTTAATATGTAAGATTTCAGGTTCTCACAGAAGTTAATTGACAAATTTTTAAGCAATTAATGCTTCAACTAAACAATAAAAAGCATGCTAATTTCCATAGATCAACTGGGATATAATCGCATGTACAAAATCTGGTGTGCAATAGTGTACGATTATGGTGTATCGAGACCTGCTCTGGGTGCCACCCAGCCTCCTATTTGATGGGGGTTCTCAAGGTCCTTTACCTGGGGGCAAAGCATGGCTGGTGACATGATGCTGACCATTAACCCCATTTAGTGCTGACGTCAAAAACAAGTAGGAGATATACCTCATTTCCCCAGAAGCGTCTCCATGGCATGTAGCTTCACTTTTAGTGGAGAGCCAGAACTCGGTCTGTACAGAAAAACTGTCGAGAATTTTCAGATGGTCATTACGAGGAAACAGAATGTAGAATAGCCATGAGCATCATATAACGCAAACAATTATGTTTAAGACGAGATATTATTACGTAAAGAATCATAGAAACTATAACTATAAATGAAACTTTCCACTTTCATGTGAATTTAAGTGGAAAAATGTTTAATACAAATAAAGGCAACATACAACATTAATGAATGAATTTAATTACGTACTTAAGCAACAGAACGCACAGAACAAATAAAACGGTTCATCACCATGTTTCGGATATTAATATAGAATTCCATATCAACTGACAACCCTGCTTCTAATATACTTCTCACACGTATTTAATCGTTTCAAACAAAATATTAAATCTATCAAATTATTAGGAAATGCTTATGTACCACACCAACTTCCAGTACTTAAATTCTTCTGCTTACCTACAAGAAGGCAACTTCTCTAAAGTTAATCACTTTATTAAAAATTATGCAAATATTTCAAACTTTGAAACACATTAAATTTTAGTTGCATAATTCCTAGAGATCCCAGTATGTATCCTAACAAAAAAAAAAAAAAAGTATGATTTGAGCAGTCAGCTCTACTATCTTTGCATTAAATTGGGCTCGGCGGTAAAACTGAAGTAAACAATTCTATTACTTACCTCTTTACAATATTAAAAGCTACTAAAAATTTTTAAGTACTGAGTCAATGTGAATTGTGCCCTTTATAAATTACTGGATTCTTTTTAAACATGAAAAACTACTCACTGACAAAACACAAATAATGATTCATTCATTTTCCCAATTGGTTACACTGTTGTGCCATCCAACAAACTTATTGTTCAATCTGAAATAATCCTTCCTATGACGGTCGATTATAATGACCCGTCACCCACCGGGAAAACTAGGAAGACTAGTACGAAAGAGGCTGGCTCGCACACACTTCATTCAAAAATCCGCATCTTCTACTATGATCTATAATTACTATAAATAGAACATAGCAAGTATGCATGACTAGCATTTGTTACAGTTCTATTTTATGCCTATCGTCTACATAAATTCAGTAAATAATTATTTTTAATTTAACGATACAGCTATAGAGAATTCTGGCCATTTTCAGATGGTGCTTGTTTAGGGTGACATCTGTAGAGTGACTGGAGGGGCACGTGAAGAAGTTCTACCAGTTGAGGGAAATTTGGTTCTGTAATGGAAAATTCTGTGTTATTATTCTGTTCTGTCCGCACGCATCTTCACTCTTAACTCGGTTAACTCCATAATGCACGAATTTAAGACGCTATGGGAAAAATGGGGTTAGGGGAACCAAAGACGCACAAAACATGACACATTTAATAAACATAATTAATGATTAATAAACATTAAAACATTAGTGATGGTGTTT